CTTCGGGCCAGGGTTCCCCCAGGGGACCCACACCCCAAGCAAGCAAGCAAGCAAGCAAGCAAGCAAGCAAGCAAGACACAGAGACACAGACACACAGACACACAGACACAGAGACACAGACACACACACACACAGACACACACACAGACACACACACACACACAGACACACACGCACACAGACACACACACACATACACACACACACACACGCACACGCACAGTGGGCGTTGCGAAGTGTGTCTCAGCGTCCCCGCATTGCACTGGCACAGTGTAGAGGCATCGAGTGCATCGACTTTTGAGCGAGGATGCTTTGTCTCCAGCCCTTTGAAGTGCTTGTCAGAGGAAGGCTGCGTGTCGCGGGGGCTCTCGTGGCGGCCGCCTCTCACCAACACAGTAAGTCGCTGGTGAAGTTAGCGAAATCTGACTGATACCGTGCTGGTGCAAGCTGACACAAAGACTGCACCAAACAAACGACATGTATCCACTGTCCACATGATGGCAAAGCATGGCAGACAGTGTACCACCATGTACCACCTGAGACCAAGCAAGTGACGAGTTGGATGGGCCTCAACTTCCGATTCAGGTGCTTTTGTTTGACTGCTTCGGCATGGGGGTAAGGTTTCTGTCAGCAGCATCCCCAACGAATGGTCGTTTACCTTGCCTAGCCGCCCAAAGCAATCAACAGCGTGGAATCCTCTCTGCATGCAGCTTGCGACTTATGGCATGAGCCTTCGCCTTCTACCCGCCATGGATGACAACACTATCCCTTCACCCTACTTGCCAAGCAGGCCTAAAGCAGAACATATCGATGTCGGTGCAAGTCAAGGCTACTAAGCTGTGTAGATGCCGATGCACTCATTGCATGCGGCAAGCAGTGTCTGCCTGGTGTGCGGCTACCTCCTTTCCGAGATAGAATCAATTCATTAATAAGGCCAACAACCCCGGCGACGTTGGACGAACCAGTTCATGAGGAAATATCGGGAACACTCTTCGGCCGGTGAGTGCATCATTTCCGGCTCCATCACACAGTCCAGAAACCTCCCGTCCACCCTGAAAACTATACGGACGCAGAATACTGCCCGAAGCCTTCGATGTGTAGAGAACCTGGCGTGAACCACCTGCTCTGTCAGCTTATGAGACACACATACTGCCACTGCACAAGCATGCCCGCCAGCAAGGATGCCATGCAATCGATGCCGGCGTTGGTGGGGATGAGCTTGTCAACGGCATCCTGAGCTTGCTAGACTTTGCAAGGTACGCTGACAGCTTTTCATGAGTTCAGCCTTCGCCAAGATGAGGTCTGACTGCTGTTCTGCGGCCTTGGCCTGAAGCGTAGAATTTCCACCGATACTCATGACTCATGCTGCATGCTACTCCACCGATCAGGGCCTTGATGGTTGCCACCTCCTTTGCCAATTCACCCATGCCTCAACTGCCATCCAGCAAAGAACGGTGTGATTCCGCTGCTCATGCCTGTGTTTGCGCCCACAATCTGCTCTGCTGCTTTCTTGGCTTCTCCCAGCTCCACCTTGAACGGCTCTCAGAGTCTCTGTTTTCCAGACCGTGGGAGTGCAAGGGTCACCTCGATACCGCGGATCTTGTTGGCAAATTCGCCGACTTTATTGGCAGTGTCTTGAATGTTCTTGATCTGTCAGCAGAACATGTTCTCGCCTCAACATCATGGCTGCACACGGGTGTGCTCGCACAGCAACGTTGATCATAAGACTTCCTGCAACAGGCCTTGAGCATGTTGGTCACCTTGTGGCTCGACAACTCAGGGCACACTCTAATCAAGGTCCCGCCGGCCTCTTCAATCTGGCTTAAGCCCTCACTCTTGGAAGCTTCGAAGGAGACGGCATGTCCTGAAACCCCGACCCATGGTGAGCATGCGCAAGAGCTCCCCCCAAACGTGCAGTTTCTGAGGACGTCTCTAGCACCTGGAAGGCGCCCCATGGAAAGCAAATTGTCAAGCGCCGTGCTTGGGCGCACTCATTGTCTGCAAGCTGCTTATTGCCATACGACTTACAACAGGCACTTGCTGCATTAATTCGCGCTCTGAGATCTAGTGGCTTGTGCGATAATGCAGAAATCGGATGTCCTTCTGCATCTGCTCTGTTCTGCCCAGGACTACATGGGAGCATTGAGAAGCCACCACGCTGGATAACTTGATGCAACATTTCTGCTGCACGTCTCGGAGCTGAAGGAAAGTGGCTTGTGGCAGTAGAACCCCAAAAGCTCGAGACAACGCTTTGCATCGTGCCAGGAGCTCGCGGGCTGACTTTCATGGGCCGTGAGTCTCGCTAGTTGCTCAGCAGGGGCTTTGCGTTCTCTCTCCTTGGAATCGACCAGATCCATCCGAAGCCATGCGTCGAACGTTACATTCAAGTACCACACTACAATCGACACTGCAAGCGTCTGATGTCCGGCATTTCTGCGCTTCTTCTTCTCCTCAGGACGACACCGCCAGCTTGACATGCCCTAGAGTTGAGAAGACGCAAGCCATGGAGCAGGGTTGTAACAACGAAATCGCGAAAAACAAAGCAGCGACGATGGATACACGGAACTGATTTGAGCAACTACGAACCGCTCTGACCATCACAACAAGGTGGCTGTTCTTGGATCCGAGCTGAGATATGCAAATAGATCGTCACAAACAGCCCGCTTCCGAGGCACTGTTTTTGGTCTTCAAGCAACGATTGATCAAATTTTTGTGCACCAGAAGTTGCCTTCAACAAGGCTGCTACGACACGAATACGAAAACTCCCAAAAGTTCACGGGGGGCCATTGCTTGCGTTGACCCTTTCTTCGCGAAGATGGGGGTTGGAAAAGTACTTGCGCAACTCGGGGCCGCTCAACCAGCCTTGTCTGCCATGTGTTTTGAAGCAGTTGATGCTGCGAAATGTAACATGCTTAATTAAACTGAGGTTGGAGGGAGGCTATGTTTTTTTGACACATACGTGTGAGCGGCTAATTTATTCACAGGCAAGCCATCATGATAAGAAACGCGTCTTGTGACATTGTGCCGACAATCTAGAACAATTATTTGAGCAAGACTCCAAGCAATCTTGATCCACAAGCCCCACTTAAGGGAGGGGACCAAGATTGCCAGCAATCTTGTAATCTTGCTCTAAAATGTAAGTCGGTGAGCAAGTGGGGCAAGATGACCAAGATTGCCAGTGGCCGACCAAGATTCAAGATTGCCAGGGTACTGACCAAGATGACAAAGATTGCAAGATTAGCAAGATGTACTCTCGGACCAACTGTTCTAGATTCCCGGCACAATGTTGTCGACATCAACGCCAAATCACCAAACAACGACTTCCGAGACGACCGACTACGACGACCACATCAACATCGACAGCCACCGCCACAGCTACCACCAGCACCAGCACCAGCGCCAGCACCACAGTACCAGACTAAAGGACTTTAATGAGGGGAAATCGGCAAACCTGACAACTCCGAGAAGCATCTGGCAAATTGACCGGAATCAACACGGTGCATCTGACAGCTGCGAGGCCAACACAACTGAGCTGCGAACACCATGCTTTTCGTGTCGGTGGTGTTCTTCTGGCGCATCCACCTCTCAAGCCGGATTCTGCACACAGCAGACCAAAACAGTGTGTCAACCTCCTCGATCCCAGATGATGTCACCATGAGGTGCTTCAGGCCGGAAGGGACACCATGACCTGCTCGATGTATCTCGATGTGAGGGGTCAAGTGGCTGGATTTCAACTCTGTGCTCCGCAAACCGGCTTGCACCTGGGTGCTGGAGACCATGTGCAGTCCTCACCGATCAGAAGCAGCTTGTCATGCTGTCCAGAGTCGTCCAGTCGGGAGCCGAGTGTCCTTCTGTGCCTCTTCATAAGAAGGTGCGCTCTGTCCAAGTCATCCCTCGGCTTGCTCTAGGCTGTTCTCTGCAGCTCATGTGCACCCCTTGGTCAAGTCCCCGGCTCATTCCTCTCTTTTTCCAGAAACAAGTCGAAATGCTGCTGCGCATACCTAACTAGGTACGAGCATCTGTCATTCTATTTCATTTTCAAAACTTCGGCAACGTGCATGGAGCCATTGCATCATAGACACTGCTTCAGTACAGCCTTCTGAGCACCTTCTTCTGTCATTTCCTGGCTGTCACAATGGCCAAGTACTGGCATGAAATGCATGAACACATCATCTGCACAGGTGTTCCTCCGAGAGCTCCATTTCCATTGGCAGAATGTAGATCCGCCAGGCTGGGAATACGATCAAGACTAGTATGACGGACCTCAGACACTCTCGTGGCTATGGCTGGCCGGCTGTCCAGGCATCCTGCAGTTTGGGACGCGGGCATAATCATCTTGGATATGAGGGGTGGACCTCAGGCACGCGTCGTTGGGTCTTCGGATCGCGGCATGCCGTGGCAACTGCACATCGTTCCCTCTCAGACCGCAACAGTCCTCCCTGAGCCCCTCTGCCACGACATCGACTGCCGTGTCGAAGCTCTGCCTTATTCTCAGAGTGCAACTCCAGACTGCCCTGGACCGATCACAGCCCGTCGGTGCAGATGCGTCGCTCCCAGGAGAATCCGATGAGGATACCTAGACCTGAGGATCCGAGAGCTGAGGATCCACCTTCCCGAACCCCCCGGTCCCTGACACCTGAGATCATCTTCTCAGTTGCCCCCTCCGCAACCTCAGAGTCTTGGCCGAACAAGTGGTTGTCCTGCCGCTGCGATGAGAGTATCACAGGCAACTGCGGTGCTTTTTCATTCATTCTCACCTGTTCTTGGGCACTCTCGCCCGACTGCTACAGAGACCATGGCGAGATGGCAAGAGACGGGTTTCACCGTGCTAGCCTATGTACAGTCTCAACAACAAGCGCGCTAGACCGTAGCATCATCCTTGCCGGCCAAGCCGACAGACAGTACTCAGAAAGGTGATGGTGGTGGTGGTGCTGCTGCTGCGGCGCTTCCTCCGCAGCTTGGCTGGTCATCCTTTCGCGGTCGTCGACACGTCATTTCAGTCAAATTCGTCGTCGTCGTCGAGTGTACTGCAAGCACCACAGTTCAGACAGGTTGGGCGGCAAAAGTGCAGCCATTAGCCAATCAGTGTACATGAAGCTTGCGAAGGTGCCCATTCCCCTTGCCATCTGCCCCAAACATGTACTGACAAGCAGGTTGACCGCCGTCCTCCACCTTGTCCAGAACGAATATCATCAGAAACGACGCCACGGATAGGAAGAGCGCTATGGACTTGGCGGCAGCTTTTCTGACAACGTCATGCTACAACCTCAAAGCGTTTAGACTTTTATCCTGGAGGTATCGTCAGATGAAATCACTCCCTGATCGCTGGTGCATCGGCCAACGCCTACCCCCAACAGCTAATCTGCCCTCAAGGGGCACCATACGAATGCACGAATGACATGAGGAACCAGCACTCCGCAAATGTCCCCAGGTTTGCAAGGATTTCTAGCTCGCATCATTTCACCCGCACCTACTGCTTGCGAACTCACAAGGTCTAAGGTCTGCTGCGAGGTGCACACAGCGTACTGCACCCTGATTGGTGAAGAATCCACCAGCAGTAGGTCGCCGGCAACCATTAAGAGGGCATTCTCCTGAGCAGCAGGGTGCACGGGCACTGACCCCTTTCAAGCGAACATGACATGACACAAGATCAGATTACCGACAACATGTCCCTCAGGCACTCTGCACACTCTGGAAACTTCTTAAATAGACCTAATCAACTTGATCCGGTTCCATATTAAGCATGCCGCCAAGCACACACCCAAACACGCCCCGGTCCCTCTCCTTGGGTCGGGGGGTCGCCTGCTATTTGTCTTGATTTTGTTGTTTTGGCCCCCCATGCCAGATGCATGTTTTCAGGTTTCCCAGGGTTCTTACCACATGTTGTCAGGCTTTTCAGGCTGTTCAGTGCTCCCCAACCTTTCATGTTGCCTGCTTCTAAAGTGGGGGCGGGGGGATGGGGTGGGGGTGGGGGGCATGATGATGTACATTGTCGGTTTTATCATTTGCAGACTTCAGGCTTTCAGGGGCAAAGGCATAAGACTTTCAAGAGTGGAGCTTGCCCTGTGCATGCGCACCGCTCTTTCCAGCCTCACCTGCTTAAATCAGGCCAGAAGCGAGAATCGTATTGTTCGGTCTGGTGGTGTCGCAACCACACAGGTCGTGGATGCTGGGAGTGGAAAGCATTCCCGATGCATCGTTTCAGCGAACTTCCGCAGTGGTTGAAGGATGATTACACATCCTTGGAGATATGCTTTGCGCGCTCCAACCAGGGCTCCCGAGCCCAAAAGCAGAGAGTGCAAAACGAATCACTCTGCCCAACATGCCCAAAATACTGCAACGCAAAAGCCTTGACCTTGAAACCCACAGCCGCAT